TTCAAATAATAACTCCCTCTGCTCAAATATCTTAAATGCCTTTTACTAAAATACCTTAGAATTCAGTGAGAACATTTGCATCCAGTTGACGCTAATACATCAATACTAGACAATACTAAATAAAAACTTAACTCTACCACGGCACAACTATTCTTTCTCAAATACAGTTTGAAACAGTCTACTATCCCTGTAAGTATGGCCTGAACTCTAAAATACCCTAGGTCATTATAGGTTTTTGAATATTAGTTCTACAAAGCTTCATGTGTGTTCATGTATACATGAAGAAAAGACAGTGACTGCCTCAGATAATTTTGATCATAGTCATTTGAAGGACTTGACAGTACACTTTTCTTCTAATAATATACAACAAGAAAGCTATTCAAATAGAAAATCTACCCGAACATGCACAAGGTCAGGAACAAAAGAACTCCCCTGCGCTTTGATATTTCATGCGTCTGTTCTTTAGATAACACACATGTTCCCGCGTAGACCTGGAAAGTGTGAACAAGTCTCCATATGAGGACAAGGTCCTTTCGTTTGTAAAGTGTGAGCAACATGACCGGTTCAGACCTCTTAGGTAACTGTGCACACGGTGCCACAAGATTCTAACATTCCTGCTCCGTTCTTGAGCTCCGTCTTGTACAACAGACGTACTCTGGAAGGAAAGACCAAAAGAAGAAAGAAGCCGCCCTGGGACAAGCTGTGCAGTTGAGCTGCAGTTATTGGGAGTTTGAAAGAGGAATAATTTAAGGAAAAAGATACAACTCAGGGGGTTCTTTTTAGTTTTATTTTCTTCGGGATTTTTCAGTTTGCCTTTTTGGTCTTAGTCGCAATCTTAGACTAAACTTATTTTCTTTTACAATTTTTATTGACTTTTATTCATGTGTATGTATGTGTCTGTATGTGCATCACATGTAGGTAGGCGTTCTCAGTAGCCCTCAGAGGCCAAGAATGAGCTGGACCACGGGACGGGGGCTACAGGCAGCTGTGTCGCCGGTGTGAGTGCTGGGGGGAGTAACCAGGGTCCTTTGCAAGAACAGCAAGTGTTCCTAACCACATTTTATTTCTTTTTTAATATTTATTTATCATGCATACAACGTTCTGCCTGCAGGTGTCCTGCAGGCTAGAAGTTGGCACCAGATCTCATTACAGGTGGTTGTGAAGCACCAGGTGGTTGCTGGAAGTTGAACTCGGGACCTCTGGAAGAACAACCAATGTTCTTAACCGCGGAACCATCGCTCCAGCCCCTGCAATTTATTTCTTATCGTGCTAAAATACATTAGGCAATTTGTGTACTTACTCACCCAGGCTATAAATCTTTAAAATGCTTGATGAATAGACCTACAAGTCAATATGAACATGACTTCTGTCACGGATCCATCAGCAGGGATAAAATCTTGGCAAACAGACTATGGTGATACAACAGAATGGATCTCTTCAACTTCATTGAAAAGTAGTAATAAGAATGGATGAAATGTTTACAATGGTTGATTCCAAGGACTCGGAGAATGGTAGGGGAATGAGTATTGACACTCAGATTCTAGGTTTTTTCTTCTTCAAAGTGGAGCGTATGATCTTTACAATTCAGGCAAACTTTCAAAATCATTTTTAAATAGCATTGTTTAACCCAACAGTACTGGCAGCATACGAAATAAAGGAATGAGATGCCAAATTTTTGACCTATGATATCCGATAAATATATAGATTATGTGACATTTATAGTGCTTTGCAATAAGTTTAATAGCTTAAAATATTCATCGCAGATGTTTGCCATGCTTTCTCTGGTTCCCCCAACTTTGCAATTCTTGCATAAATTTCTCCTCACAATCACTAGCTTTATGAAACTACATCCTCTTTTTCACAAACCATATCATTAGAGAACTCTATTTTTTTAAAAAAGGTAGCCTGTCATGGTGTGTGTGTGTGTGTGTGTGTGTGTGTGTGGTTTTCAGGCTAATTGCCAATATTGAAGAATTCCAGGTCCTGTCAACACAGGGCCGAGTCACATGGCAAGTGGGTCACATGCACTTGCCTGAGAGCCCTGACCATACCTTGTTCCCTACTAACAGGCCTTGGGTGTGGGTACCTTCAGAATTCCTGGTGCATTGTTTCTTCTTCGTAATATACTGGAAAGTAACTTCTTACCTCCACAGAGGGGTAAAGGTTATTGACTATCACGCCTGTTAAGTTTGCTACAAGGAGCTGGGGGACAGGTAGGGGAAATGAAGGGATGGAAGCTGGACTGATTCTTTGAAAATAAACTGAAATAAAATGGATTGGAAAGACTATTCCATTTTCCCCCCCTCATTTTTGGAATCTAGAGGGATGGATAAAGGGAAGACTGTAAGTAGATGTGCAAAGATCAGGGAAGAGGAAGGGAATCAGATGGGGAGAAGGGAGGCAGGAAAGGGGGTGGATTGGTGGATAGGGCCCTGCTCTGCATACACCTGAAATCATCACAACAAACTAATTGCTTTATGCAAATAATGTAAATTAATAAAAGACAGAAAAGGTGAGGGTTTCTTCTTTGTGCTTGATGTGCGACTAAAGGGGTTTGCGCCAGAAGCAGCAGCTTAAAGGGCTACAGAGAATGGAAAACACACAGGAAAAAAAAAAAACAAAAAAACCACAATGAATGTGTTTTCAAGTGGATACAAAATGGGGAATTATTTCTAAAATGTAATTGCATACAAAATAAAAGAATATTTTCCTACTTCGAATTCACCGTGCTGTACTGTCCCACTGACCCTGAAGGATTTGGAGCTCTTTCTCTTTGGGGGAGCACGCCTGGAGTCAGGGTCCCTTCCTCCTCCCAGTCGCCCAACCCTGCCCTAATTCTAAACCCTCAGGCAGTAAGTAGCAAAAGCTCTCAAAGATCGCTGTCACAATTCCCTTCATTTTCCTCCTCTTCCAGCTCAGCACAGGCCCCGTAGCCTGCAAAGATAAGCGTGGTGGCTGTAAAATTTCTGTTAACCCACGACTCCACGCTCCTTCCTCCTCCCCCGGGGCCTCTCCTTGTGGGTCCAGCATTTGGCAATGTGCCCATATCAATAGCCTGGATCTTTTCCAGCTCAGATGGTTCGATCCTTTGCACCGCGTCCCAGCCCTTCAGTTATGGCTGCGAACTCTCAGGGCAGGTATCTAACTCCAGCTTGACCTCTGTGGGAAGGAGGAGAGGACCCTGGCGAGACTGCAGTCAAGCCTAGCTTAGCTGGCGTCTGCTGTCTGTGTGAACTCCAGATCTGTAGCTCCGGGGTGATGCCGGAAGCTCTCAACCTTAGGGGAAAGGAGATCTTTATCCACTATGACTTCTAAACTTGCATTCACCAGACCTGATCACAGGACCTAGATCACGTCTTCAATAAAGGATTACGGAATATGTTTCTGAGTGTGTTCTTCCTCACAGAGATCAGACATCTCCTGCCTTTCTGGGGTCCAATCTCTTGAAATGCCACCATCCTCAACGGCTCCGTTTGGCCGCGCTTGTCCGCTCAGGGAAGTACTGGGATAGTCAGAGCTGGGTTTCTAATATTACTCCCAAGTTACAGAAGGGAAAGTAGAACCTCAGAATTCGCTGTGACTGATTCAAAGTCAAAGAATGTGCACTGGGTTCCATGCTCCCTGCACTCTTATTCGGGATACTGTAAACTAATAACGTGGGCTACAAAACTGGGGCCCTTTATAGAGAAAACCACATAGCTCACCAACTCCAGTCATACAGGGAAGAAACCAGCATAGGACCTAACTAGTCCCTCTGAATGTGGGGTGATATTTGGATGGCTGGGGCAGACTGTGGGACCACTTCCTACTGTTTGTACTGTTTCTTTTGGGGGGGGGAACCCATTCTTTTTGGAGGACTACCTTTCTCAGTCTAGATATACTAAGGAGGGCCTTGAACATTCCCCAAAGCAATGTGCCTTACCCTTTCTGAGGAATGGATGGGGGGTGGGATGGGGCAAAGGTGGAGGGAATGGAAGGAGGGGTGGGAGTAGGAACTGGGATTGGTATGTAAAATGAAAAAAGATAGTTTTCTTTTAAAAAATAAAATAAATAAAAATCCACATTATCCAATACAGATGTCCTATACTAAAAAACAGCTTAAATAATTAGCCCCAGGAATCGGCACATGGGGCTATCTGAAGTTAAAAGTTTCAACACAGCCAAAGAAGTTATCAGCGGGGTGCACGACAGAAGAACCAATCGCATTTCACACAGGGAGCTGACATCCAGAGTTTACAAAAACCTGCAAACATTAACCACAAAACCTCTAAACTGTTGACTGAGGAATGGGCTACCAAATAATGTCCCTCCAAGAAGAAACAAATTGCTAACAAGAATTTCAAACTGTGCTCAGCATCCCCCGTCAGAACGACCTTCAAATAGCAAACACTGGCAAAAGGATGTGGAGGAAAGGGACCCTCATTCACGGCTGGTAGGAGTAGAAACTAAAATAGCCATTCTATATGCCGTGGTGGAGCCAGAACTGCCATGGGAGCCAACTATAGCACTGCAGGGCGGATCCCCAAGGACTCTATATCCTACCATAGATAGCCGAGCATTCCAATTCATTACCGCTCTCTCCACGACAGCAAGGAAGTGGAAATAGCTTACATGTCCGTGGGTAGATGAGCGGAGAATGAAAATGTGGCATATCTACACAACAGAATCTTCTCTGCATAAAGACGGGAAAATCTGAAAATTTTAGGGGGGAAATGGATCTTTGTGGTTCTAGATATGAGTAAAACTTACAAAGGAGGAAGCCAAGGCACGGTCAGGTGGTGAGGAAGGACAAGAAGTGGTCAAAAGGATATAGGAAGAGGGAAAGTTACTGAAGAAGCAAGGGAAGAAGTCAGTGGTAAGAGACGGGGAGGAGAGAAGACATTGGCTATGACATACATTGCTCCAAAGGCCATAATGACAGCAAATGCCTTATATGCTAGTTTTTGAAATAAGTAAATAATAATAATAATCATTGGAGAACCCAACTCAGTAAAGAGAAATTAAGATTTTCAAAACATTTTATATAGAAACATTTTATGAAGATTTTACAACATACTAAATCATGTCATACTGTAGAAAGAGGAGGAGAAGATTAAACTCAAGGACAAACAAAGTGCTCGAAGCAACGTATTGCAGTCTCCATGAAAGTGCATAGAAAGTAAGGCAGTGTCCCAGGTCGGCACTGGCAGGTCACACAATAACTTGCAAAACAGTTTTAAAAATATATACAGACAGTTTTTCCTTTTCCTCTGCTCGGAGGGACTGACAGGGGAACCTTTGTGGCTGGCTTGGCTCTAGATATAATGCAGAGGCAACCAACGCCTAAGCCCAAATCTATGAAAGTAAAATGTTAGGGGGGAGGGGAAAATCAGCCAATGACTCCCAGGTCTTTCTTTCCAAGAGTGGCCGCTCCTCTCCAGGCTGCTTCCGGGGCTGGAGGGCATCTAGCTCCCGTACTAAGACAGTGACCACTGACTATGGTGACTCTGGTTCCATGGGGGCCTCAGCCTTTAGGTGTTGTGCTTAACTGTCAGCGGCTATAGACACACCAATAACCTACTTTACGACCTTCCGCCCTGCCCTAGGGGTCTATAGCTTTAGTGGCGTGCACCTACAGCTTTTGAGAGTCGCTTTGGGAAGAGCCACAGGCGTGTTACTGGAATATTTGCCCGACCTGATAGTCGAAATGCAAAGGTTAAGCCATAATCCTTTTTCTTTTTTTTTTTTTTTGAACCATGCTGGTTACGTATTTCATTCTCCACATACAACAAATTCCTTACGTTCAACGGGCTTTAGAAGGGTAATACTGGTTATTAGACTACAATCTTCATATATGGAGAAAAACCTGATTTTATAACATACCTGAGAATGATATGATTGATCTAAAAGGAAAAAAAAAAGGAAGAGGGCCAGACGTTTCCAAGAGTGAGTCTTGGGGAGAATTGATTTATCTGAATTCTAGCAGATATAATATAAATACTTGCTAAGGAGTAACTTAACTCACCCATAGCCACTCTTTGTAAAATTTCATATACTCCTGAGATCAAAGGAACTTCGTTTCACCATTAGACTCTCTCCATAGGTACTACACCAATCTTTTCTCTCCCTCTTCCTTTTTTCCCCCCCATGTCTAAATGTAAGGGAAATAACCAGTCCACCTTGGCTGACTTAGGTTAGTTAGTGCTCTTAGCCCTCAAGGCACAGCGGTGGTAAGAGTCAGAGAAATACGCAGGCATTTATTGGAATTGTGCGGTACAGAATAAGAACACCACGCTCTCCCTAATCTAGTAACAGGGGCCACAGCTCAACGGCTTTACACGACAGAGCTGTTGGGCTGATTTTCATCGGTCACTTCCTTTTCGTCGGGACCACACACAAAGAGCTGGTGGCCCAGAGTCTTCTGGGCAAACCGGAAATACATGAGGTGGCCCATGGCCACGAAGGAGACCGATATCAATACGAGCAAGCCAAAGGCTTCGGGATTGGGGGCCAGGATGACCATGATGAAATGCAGGAGGTCGAGAAGGTAATTCATGGAGTTCTGCACGCCGTTGATAATGCCTCTTTCCGATTCAATGACATTTTCTTGCAGTAACTGTGTCACGGTCAGATCAAAGGACCAAAGACCTATACGGCAAAAGAGATTGTAAAAGATTAAATTTTAGCGTATAATTTAACTTATAATTATATATCTTACATGATGCAGTTGTGTTAATATATGTAGAATACATTGGCGCTCTCAATTCTTTGAATTGCCCGTAGATAGAAAATAGTCATCACACTTCTAGATAATTAATCCCTTATATAATTTATCAGTAGACGTTGGATTATTAATGCCTTTAAGAAGTTATTCTTACAGCCACCGGACCCCATAAAGCTAAGCCACAAGCGTCTCAGTCCCATTTTTCTGTGATTATTCAGACGACAAAAGTAAAATGGCGTCAGGAAGCAGAGCCTATGAATTCTAGCAGGTCTAAAGTTTAAAGTAATCTAATAATGTGCAGCCGTGGGTAAAGAGCACAGAGACTTTAACCCACTCTGCCATTGCTACCTGAGTATCACAGGGCTCCCAATAAAGCTGTCTTGCCTGAGTATTAATGTCTCTGATAAATTCATGAATTGCTCGGTATCACAAGATAAATATGGGCTCGTTTCAAGAAGAAATGGATTCAGGGGCCAAGCACCAGGACTCCATTAATGATTACTTAAATTCTGCTCGGTAGGATGCCTTGACATTGTGCTTCCGGCCAGAGGTATAAAACTAATTTGTGTGGCAAAGTGTGTAATGTAGAAAATGCCTATCAGCCAGAGGGGACTTGTTTGTGAAGGGTGTTTCTTACAACCACGATGCCTTCAAAAGAATAACAATTTAAGGCACGTCCCTAGCACAAGAAGGCCCTGGGTTTGATCCCCAGTAGCACACATGAGAGAGAGAGAGAGAGAGAGAGAGAGAGAGAGAGAGAGAGAGATTGATTAAATATTTAATCCTTAAAAATATTCATTTAAGGATGTACCTCAGAACTAGAGTTCTCACTTAACATGCATAAGGTCCCAAAACACACACACACAATTCAAAACAAAAAATCCTAAACATTTTCTATACATATACACATACAGTTTAAAATATTAAGTAAAATGTTATGTTTAATGAGTAGATCCTATATATAAACAGTGGCTTTTGCTTAAATTAACATGCATGATTTCAGATAATTTACTGTTGAATTCTCTTAGCTATTGCTCCCAGATGATTTAATTTTTTTTAATATACAGAAAGAGAGTTCTTACCAATTCTAGCAGCAATGACGCCTGCAAAGAGCAGGATGACGGAGATCATGGGCTCGGATTTAGTACTAATCTCACGGACAGCATTAACAATATTAGACACGTTGGACATAGGTGCTTCAGTCGTAAAGCCGGCCTCGGGTATTTTGGTAGTTGGAGGCACTGGCTCCGCCTGCATAAACCTAGAACGGATATCTTCGAATGGAGAAACAGATAGGTCCAAGGGGCTTCCAGGCATGAATACGGAGATCACACACAAGATCAAACAGGAAAGCTGCGCCAGTCCTGAGAACAGACCAGTCCGAACAAGGCCGCATTTCCGGCGCAGCCAAGTGAAAGCCACGGTTCCCATGATTCCAGTTATCGCTGAGGTTCCCATCAAAATACTGAGGACGGAGCCGCTCAGCCCCTGAGTGTAGGCGTACCCTGTAGTGATGCAGTCAAAGCCCAGGACTGTCATATAGAGGAAAGCCAGGCCCATGCCAGCCAGGAACACCGGCTGGTTGTAGTAGGAGACCCAACCATCTCGAAAGGTGCGGAAGGGCTCGGCCATCTGGGAGGCACATGTGGGCTCTGGCTCGGGTTCAAGTTCGCGGATGTTGGAGTCTTTCCCGCCCATTAGATGAGATTGCTCCAGAGATTTTGGCTCAGTATCTGTAAATAAGACACATCATTCGTTTTGGGTTTCCTTGTTCGCCTCCCGCGTGGTAGTCTCCTTGACTACTACATTGTAAATATGCCTTCCTTTTACTGGTAATTTCAGAATGACAGCCATGGAAGAGTTCCCAAGTAACAGTTCTGGTGTAAAAATGCCATTGGTATCTTTGTTAAACCTCTCTTTCTTTCAGAGATTACGCTTTCACTGAAGCAAATAGCAGGAAAACTTATCAGATTAAAGTACAAAAGTTATGTGGGGGAAGTATACTACCTTTTTTAAAAACCTTAATAAGATTTCTTTTACCAGAAAACCAGCCTCCACTTCTCCAGGAAAAATCCTGCCTCTATCTTCCCCCTGCCCCGCTCCCACTGTTTTCTAAATGGCTATTCTACTCCCCTCAGGAATTCTAAGAAATGCCCATGTCTCCTTTCTTCCCATTTCTATGACTCAGTTTCCCTGCCATCCTCAAACAGTTGTTCCTCTGTGCGCACTGCCCACCACAAGAAAAGCGGCCAGGGACCTACCCCAAGTCTTTATATAGCCAACCCACACTCCTTTCCAGAATCTTAAAAGATGACAGCCAACGCATCCAGACCCTCCCTGGAAAGACAGCCTGAAATCCAAACTAGCATCCGGTCTTCAGCAAACTCCCCAAGGGCTGAACTTAGAACTTAGCGGGTGGTTTGGCCAGTTACCTTTGGGTGAGTTCAGTTGCTTCATTTCTGCCTCCTCTACTTTGAGAGCAGCTTTCACAGCCAGAGCAGGGGTCTTCTGATACACCTTCCAGAGCAAGAAATACTCCACACACATGGACACCAGATTCCAGCCCGAAATGAAACCACAGCCAATGACCGGGGAACCGAACGTCATGATCTGGCCGACGGCCATGGGGGCCAGGATGTTGGTTAGCTGGTCGATCCTTCTGATGGTGGCATTCATATCTACAGAGGCAAGAGGCAGGTGAGTGAGACTTCAAACCTACCAAAGACAGTCTGACCGTTTCCATCATAGAAAGCGAAAAGCCAAGGGGACAGATCCCTGGAAGGCCAGTTCCTAAAGGCATCCTGTGACCAAAGCATTCACGGTGAGTAACAGTCCCTGTTTTCATGAAGCTAAGACTCCTTTAGGAAAAGCCAGTCAACCAACCAACAATATATACTATGCATGATCTATTGCAGATGTGTGTAGAAATATGGATCTACAAATGCTGCAAAGAAACATCTGGCATGTAAACATACAATGTTTATGTTAAAGCAGTGGTCCTTCCTAACACTGTGGCCCTTTGGCACAGTTCCCATGATGACCCCCCAGCCACACAATTATTTCATTGCTACTTATTAACTATAACTTTGATACTCTTCGGAATTGCAATGTAAATGTCTCATTTGCAACCCCCAAGGGTGTCATGACCCACAGGTTGAGAACCACTACTTTAAAGGCAGACTCATGATGCGCTGGCGATAGATTATGGCTGACAGAGTCTAAGAAAGCAGCCTCATTGACGGTTCTAAGGAGCGTGGTTATTTTTATTTTTCTTGCGTTACTAAGTACTGAGAAGCAGATAACTTTGGAATAATCAGGTTTCGCATAAAAGCACTAGAACTGGATTTTGGAAATGCTGATTTTGATAAGGCTCTTTGGAGACCAATAGCTACATAAAGGAGGCTGAAGATTCAGAAAGAGATATGAGCCGATTTCAGACGTTTTTAAAACAACGAAATAAGATCAAGGGGGTGCGTGTAGAACGCAGACCAGGTTCTAAACTGTTGGGAATGCCAACATTTACAGGCCAAAAACATGAGTAGGAATGAGCAAAGTGATAAAAACAAGAATACCGTGTCCTAGAAATGAAAAGGGGGACAGCGCTTCAAAGTGAAGGAAAACCACCGGTGCCAAGTGCTTACGTGACACTCAAGAAACAGAGACTGAGGGGCTCTTGGTGATGGCACTCAGACGTGAGACTAAGAGGGGCACCCAATGCCACCCCCAGAACCAGTGGGCACCTCAAAGACCACAGAGCGGGAGGAGCCCACAAGAGTGCCAACTCCAGGAAACACTGTTTTCTTATCTTTCCAATAGGTGTCCCTTCGGGGCACAATGTGAATGCTGCCCCCCTCCCCCCGGGGGGGAAATGCTACAAAGTAAACCACAGAGAAAGTTAGCAAGCGAGAAAGTTAGCGAGGAAGGTGGCATGGTGGATGCTCCTGCAGGATGTAGGAGAAAATGCAGAGCCGTCCTTCAGGATGGAGGGAAAGAGGCTGATCGCCGAGCCAGGCTCGTTCCTCTGACGGCAGGAAAAGAGCAGCTCCATGCTCACGGGCACACGGAGCTAAGTCGTGTGTTTTCTCCATTCTTGCTCTACTGTGAAAGTTGGGGCTAAAGGGGGTTACTGAGTTAGCCCAACAAAAGGAGAGAGAGCCAAGTGAGCCAAGGCTTGCCCTCGGAGGCAAGCGTGGCGTCATGACTGACCTTGGAATTTAAACAGCGTAAGAGAGGGAGAACGGAAAGGGTCCTAGGTGGTAAGACGGCGATGGATTCTGTGGTTTGTATGTGGCAGCCAGCATGCATGGGTTGTTTGGAAGTGATGGAGGGAGCAGGAGAGAGGGAGAGTGGTGGGTGAAGATGCAGACAAAGAGTGAGCTTGTGAGAGGAAGATTTCGCGGTGATAGCAGGGTTTTCTAAAGATGGTTCCTGGATGTACAAGAGTGTCAGAGATGAAGGAAGGGCAGCTAAGGCAATGCTCCACTTTCCCATGCCCTATAGCACGAAGGACGGTGAAAATTCATGAGGCAGATCCTCGGCAATCATCTGGGTCAGCCAGGAAAAATCAATACGTGACTAACGAGAATCCATGGGAATGGCCTCGCTCCTGCCCCTCATTCCTTCCGTGTCGGTGGCTTTCTGATTAGTCCTAGGAGTGTACAAGGCACACACGATAATGGGAGAACTTTGATAGTCATCACCTTTCACTTGAAAGGCAAAGGCAGCCGGCACTGACCTCCCATTGTCGCAATGTCTTCCAAGAGGCAAAGGCAGTGGCTGCGGTCGTCCATCTAGCCCAGGCTCTCCCCCCGTCCCCCCACCCCCACCCCGCCCCGTCTGCCTGCCCACTAACAGGCTTCCAGTGCCCAAGCCAACAGGGACACGAGGAACTGATCCAAGTGACTCAGCAATCTGAATCCAAAAAAGAAAAGCAGTTCAAGAAATAACAGCTGCCTCTTAAAACCTCGTTATAGCAGGAAGTGTCTTAGTCAAACGTTTCCCCGTTCCAAGATGATCAAGAACTGGGGGTTCACAGAGCTCCCGAGACCCCGGTTTCCATATTTTAGAGAATACTTAGGAAGGCAATAGTAATGCTTTCTGTCAAGAACAAGGTGGTCAAGAACTGGAGCAGAAGGAATTAAGTAGCCGTTTTGAAGACCTAGTTGTTTGGTTGTTAATAGTCTAGAAGAGAATCCGTCTTCTGAATATTCACACATAGGCGCTCTGTGAATTTACATTTATTCGCATGTGAAGACTCAAATGACGGTTTGCCTGATGCTGGTTTGGTGGCTTTGGCTATAGCCATGGCACAGAACTTGGCATGGTGCAATTTCTTTCACTGACGAGTACATGATACCACACAGGAGCAGACGTGTTCAAAGGGGACTTGCTGGGCAATCAGGAGCCAGCAGGCTGCTCTATCTAGAACGTGAAACCAACTTTTAAGCAATAGAGCTAAGGCATGAAACCTATGCACCATACTTTGTCAAAGCGAACCACCAGATTTTCCTCCAGAATACTTAGCCAGAAACCCCAAGAAGCTGTCACTACAGACTGCCCCAAAAAGGGGCAAGAGAGACGGATGGATTAGAAAGCCTGGGGAAGGAGGGCGCACAGACTCCATGGAAGAGAGAATGTCTTAAAAAAAGATTGATCCTGAAAAATATCTGACTAGTTCCTAGATTCGTTAAGAGTACACAAGTGAAAAACTATACCTTGTTTGACCTCAATGATACAGTTTGCAATTTTAGAACTCTCTGAAATCATGAATGCTGGAATAAGGAAACGAGAGCAGCCAGCAACTAGCTGCCAACTTAGAGTCTTACTCTTTATGTATGCACACATACGCATGCACATGCATGTGCGCACACACGCACACACACACACACACACACACACACACGCCCACACCCACGCACAGCCGTAAAGCCCACTCTTCTGCTTGGTTTTCTAACATCCTCACAAAAAGCCAAGGCAACAGACTCTACTTTTCTTCTTTTCTCTTCTATTTTTCTTTAGCCATGTCCTTTTTTCCCCCCTGACTTTTCTACTTATAGCAGAAATGACACGCCAAAACCATGGTCAGACATCCGCTGACCCTCCAAGTTAAGAAGTCTATGTATCCTGTTTCAAAACATGGTTTTTAGTTAATATCCACTGAGGTTAAATATCAGAAAAGAAAACTTATAGGTGTCCTTCACTGATCTATTAGCCTGGCTGTGGGGGGTGGGGGCAGAAGGGTAGTAACTAAAACTTGACCACTTGACACACAAAAGAGATCGGCTGACATTCTGTTTTCCTTCTTAAAGTGAAGAAAGCCCACAAGGCTAGGAAACAGGCTGTCTTTTCTAGATTCTTCTACCATGAAATAACTCACAAAGAAGGAGAGGGGTCAGTTGAGAAATGGCCAGTCATAGTTTCAATTGTTTCCGGAACATTTTCTCATAGATCCACAGAGTTAGGTTGTCTGTGTCTATGTATTTATTAGGACTACTTAAAGATTTTGAGAATTTCCCGCTAACAAAGTTTTTTGTAGTTGCTGCTGTTGCTTTTCTTTGCTTCCTTGCTTGTTTGTTTGTTTGTTTGTTTGTTTGTGACAGGGTTTCTTTGTGTAACAGCTCTGGCTGTCCTGGAACTCACTTTGCAGACCAGGTTGGCCTCAGACTCACAGAGATCCTCCTGCCTCTGCCTCCCAAATGCTGGGATGAAAGGCATGTGCCACCACTGCTTGGCCCTAATAAAGCTATTGTAAGGAGGAAAACAACTTTTAAAATTCTTTCTTTTTATTACCTTTTCATGATGTGTATTGTGCAGGTAGATGCATTAAGGGTAGGTGCCCGCAGAGCAAGGAAGCATCAGACCCACTGAAGCTGGAGTTTCAGGCAATTGCCTGATGCATGCTGGGAATAGAACTTGGATCCTCCAGAAGAGGAGGATGGGCTCTTAAGGAGCAAGCCATCTCTCCAGCTCCCTAAAAAAACCCTTTTCCTAACTTAATGGACTTTATAGGATCAAAATGGGTGCAGTTAATAAATTCAGATAAATGAAAGAAAATAATTTAGAGGCCAAATTTTTCTTCCAAACATGTCAGAAAAATACATTTGCTACCTATTTTCAAAATACACTCCTTCTCCTCTGAATTTTAAAACACAGACACATTTTACATGCTAAAACAATGCTAAAAGGAGAAAGTTAACAAAAAAGGGATGAAGTCTTATCTTCTCTTTCAGCATAACAAAAAAGAGATGTGAAATTATTATCGTTTTATAAATAAACAATGAAAGAAGGACGGAAGAGAATTTTCTGGAAAGCATTCACTGTTCTGCTCTCACACAAAATCCCAGTGTATTTCCCTGGATTGTAATACGGCAACCAGGAAGTGATGATTCAGACAAATCCTTTTTCTTCTAGAGCAGGGGTGTCCAGCTTTGAAAATTAGAGTGTGGCGTTGCCAGTCACCTACAAATACACGGGGCCACATTCTTAGCTCTCTGAGGGGGCACACAGGCAGGTGGGACAAGCCTCTTCCCGGTCTCCCATAGACTTTGCGCCCCCTTCAATTACTGTTTCCTTCCCCCCTTCTTTTTATGTTTGAACCACCGGGTCTAGTCAAGCGGAGCCACTTGCTAACCCCGGCCCATAGCCTTCGCTTCTGCGTCCTCGAGTGGGCCGCGTTTATCGAGAACGGCTTTCCTGTCTGTCAGGACTGTTGGGCAATGGGCTGGTGACACTCATTATCTTAATGACCAGCAGAGTCGGCTCAGCTGACCTGGGTGGCCTTCCTCTCTCACCTTGTATAATTACCAATCCAGTTCAAACCTGCGGGCGCTGCGGTGAAGAAGGAGGACACCAGGTAAGCCAGGGGCCTTAGGAGCATTCGTGAAATAAGGTATGTGTCTTGAAGGCACTCTGGTCTTGCTTAAACCACTGGTCTGTGTCTCCAAAAAACTAAGATTGCTTAGAGAAGCCTTTCCGTTTTCTGCTTGAAAATATATTTCAAAAGTCTTACATTTTGTAGGATGTGAGATACTGTTCAAAAGAATTTTTTTTTAAAGTGAAAACTAATTTCAATCATCTCTGCTACAACTGTGTTATTTCCATTCGGCAGAAAGAAACAAAGTACCACTGGTACAATCCTTAAAGTGCACGTAATAATGCCCATATTTATGAGGGCAAAATACCCTCAAAATACCCTCACCATGACAACTGATATTGAGAAACACCATAATTTAAAAAGAAAAAAAATAAAAAGTTTAAATGAGATGTTCTACTTGCTAGATTTACAGAGAAGAAAAGAGTAGGAAGCGTCCTAAAGTTAACTCCGGAGCACTTAGGTAAGACACAGTACTGTCTGACGTCTGTAAGGGCAGCAATGCAAAACTCTGGTGCTTCCCACGGAGTGTTCTTAAAGCCTTCCCAGACAACCAACGGTAAAAAGGCGTCCCTTCCCACTTACGGCCACGGATTCATGGGTTCCTTTAGTTGAAAAGGTAATCCCAGTTACCTGCCAATCTGCTTCTGTTTTCTCCCGCCACCACAACAATCCAGTCCCTTTGGATTGTGATCGCGGTAGCAGTACTGGCCAGATTTGCAATGTTTGCAATAGTGATGATCATGATGTAGCAGGCAGTCTGAGGAATCAGAGCAAAAAACTTGAGTTAATACGGAAGCTTAACTTTTTTTTTTTAATTTCAGTGTCATTCATAAAAAGTAACTTTATTTTCTGCACAAGGGACAGCTGAGTACCAGGAGTCAGAAATTAAGGGGCAGGGCATCGTTCAGATCGGTACCATCTATAGTTAATGCCCAAGTTATACAATCATCATTTATAGGACAGCTTACTATTCTTTAAAAAACATCATCAAAGGAGAATCAAGAGAATCAAAATGACCTGTGGATCGAGAAATCAATATTAAAAGTTGCAGTGAAAATCCACAAGGTACACTCCTAGACTGAGAAGGGTTTACACCTTCACCGCCGTTGGATGTGCTGGGGAGCTGAGGCACAGCTCAGTGGTGGAGCGTATGCTTAGTACTCATGAGGTCCTGGGCTCTATCCTCAGGACCCGGGAAACAAACAGCAAGAACCCCCGTGGAGAACTTACGAGGACCCATCCGTGATACATCGTCAGAAGCTCATTTTTGTGTAAGAAAACCATCATGAGGATGATCCCGCAGAGAATGACGGAGACGTTCTGCACCACCAGTGAAGTCTGGGCCACTGTACGGAGCAAAAGCAAAATGTTCGCTGCAGCAGCGTGGTTGAGCAGGTTGCCGTCACTCCCGCGACTGCCGAGCTACACGGATGAACACGCATAACTACTACAAGACCAAGAAACCCCACCAACAGTAATTTCTGCCTCTGCTAGGTCCTGTCCACAGACCTGAGGACCCTGCAGGTCCTCAACAAAATAATGAACCTGTGGCTTTCTCCTACTAGTTGAAGTCTTTCATGATAACTGCATATGTATCTCGACTATTCTTAGAAAGTTTACTACCCTAAACAGAACTGTTGTATGGATACGATCCATCCTTCAACCCTCAACTGCTTAAGCTAAAATAAAAACATGTAGGAGGTTCGAGAAGAGCTGAAGAGGGAGTGGACTCTGTGACCCGCTTACATGGCTGGCTTGATCTAATAAAATAAGGAAAAATACACAAACATTTGCCAAGAACCAATACACAGCAGATTTCTTCTGATTTGTATTGTATTGTCATTGCTATGGGATTCTGAGCTTTGCCTTCCATCAGAGAAAATGCAAGGGCCTGTTAGAGAGAGACACTCCTTCATATAGGTGAGCAAGGCCAGGTAAGAACCCAGTAGCCATTTTCCTGCCACTCATAGGCAGATCATTAGGACAGGGTATTTAATGGTTCTTATGTCTGTGCCTGGTAAGTGTGGGGGATAACATCCGCCTTCCTTCCCTTATGGAATCACAATGATCTTCAAATAAAATATTTGTGAAAACATTGTGGAAAGCACAAGTCACAATGATAGATCTTGTCATCCAGAACGGTAAATAAAGCTTATCCTGGGTTAGAAGAGCATATCAAAGACTCAAAAGCTTAAAACAAAGCAGACTCCTCTCAGAAGGCAACCTGAAACAAAACCCAACATAGAAGTCATTCCTTCATGCATGCATGCATTCATCTCTAAGGATTGAAAACCAACTCCTCACACACCAGAAGGAAGGACGTGTGGGCGGATGACTAGAACCATCTCAGTACAATAGCAAAGGTACCACAAAGTCTCAGAGAGCAGAGGAAGAGATAGTGAGTTCATTTTATAAGGAGCAGGGAAGAGTCACATGAAGGGTGGCTTGTAAGACGCTCATACTGCAAACACGGGAGACTCCTATCATATACCACAGCCTTCTCCGTCCAACTCAGCACTTCCCAAACACGTAATTGCGACACTCTGTCACGTTATGGTTAAAGGATCCTGTGGAGAATATTCTTGTGGATAGCTATCAAAAGAATTTGGTTTTCCCTAGTGTATGGAAATTTTTTTTCTATATGTGCTTTTAGCGACTTACTCTCAAAATAAGAAAATCTTCATATGAATCGTTTTACTAGTAACGCCAAATCCTAGAACTTTGTAAGCCTGCTGACTCTTTATTTAGGAGCAATCCCTCTGAGCTGAACAAAGCTAGCTGTACCTTAAAGTTTTCCCCGTGTCTCTCTTCAGGCAGGCATGGACAGCTCTTTGCATTATTAACCGAGTTTCAAATAATTATCCACATACATCTTATACCCTATAGCTAAATTGCCTAGTTATTTCCAATCTCTTGTATATAAAACAGAATATATCTTGGTGCCTTAAAATAAAAATTATTTTATCATGTGTACAATATAATACATGCACGATTTATTATAAATTCTTCTTTTTCCCTAAAAAAAAATTATACTTCAGCTGTCTGTTATCCAGACATGGTTATTCTCCCTTGGATTTAGTTGTCAAATTCCACTGCACACACCTTCGTGTGTACACCAGAGGACAGATGTTCAAGCTGTACCCAGGAACCTCACACTAGAGGGCCTCTAGTGCAATCCATGGTGAGGGAAGAAGCCAGAACTAAGCAAACTTTTAATGTTTAACGCGATTCCCAGAAAACGGGCTACCGAGTTAATTGTTAACATCTGGACCTGACAAACTGCCGAAAGAAAGAAAACTCTATGAAGTCAATGCCCTGACACCCCAACTAATGCAGCCGCCTCAGGAATCTATATGTGGCCATCAACCCCTATTCCTCAGCTGTGTCAGGCGAGTCACCACTCTGAGTCACGATTTATTCTCTCCAGGACAGAGGAAACACGGGCTGGTCCAAAGAACACAGGCTGGGTTACGTAATGGCACTCACCTTTCAGTCTGGCATTCTTGTCGACCCAGTCACCAATGATGGCGCCCATGACCAGAACGGAGCCTGCCACCACCAGCCCATAGACAGCTGTCAGAAGGAGGCTGTTCCCATAGAGCTCCACCAGAAACACAGACACGGCAAAATGCCACATCCGATCCCCCTGAAACAAGACAAAGAGGTTTGGTTGAAAGGTTTTGAGTTTGCAGCCCACTGCACCCAAGAAGTCGTGTTCTTAACCAAAGGATGCTTTCTGGCTACATCGGATGATTTTCCAAGTCCATAATTAGGAATTGGAAATTGGCCTAACATTAAAGATTCATTCCAGCACAATGAAAAAGCCGAGCTTCATTACTTATAACTTTGAAGCATTAATTTAACTTAAGGACTGACACAAGCCAGTTTTTCAATTTAGGAACTTGCAGGAATGGCCTCTGAGGCCTCTGATGGGTTTTCATTGCTATCTTTTCTTTAATGTGTTATTCCACGAGTAAATTTTTTTCAAAGTTGTAAAATAGCAGAACAAACAGAAGGGGAAAAAAATCAGTCATGGAAACCCTGATCCCATACGACCAAAGATGTTGAAATAAATATATAGGTAAACAGCTATTTTAATGTTTTAATAAAGATACGTTTTGAAAAGATAGCTGGGTGTAGTGATGTACACTTTTAATCCTGCACTCGGGAGGCAGAGGTGGGTAAGTTTCTGTGAGTTTGAGGCCAGCCTGGTCTACATAGTGAGTTCAAGGACAGCCAGAGCTTCATAGTAGATGCTGTCATAAAAGAAGTGGAGACAGAGAGAGTTATATCTTTACATAGTTCCAGAACATATAAGGAATTTTGCAATTAGTTGACATAAAATGTGGTACAAGTTTAACACAAACTTTTTAATTACTCAGATAGATTAATGTATGAACTATCTAGAAGAGACATTTCTATGAGATCGTAAGTTCCAGCCCTGACATTTTAGGTTAACATTGAGGAAAGACACCATTTCGTCAGAATCATCACTAAATTCATTACATATTTGACCCTGTGTGAAAGAACTTCGACTCTGAGATCTTCCCAAAGTCTGGCCAAATCCTCATGATAAACTTATATGTTGGAAGAAAATTATTTTACTGATAAGTCAAATGCTATGAAATTTTTAACAAGACTAAAATAACCACTTTAAATATTCAAAATTTAAACTGCTTCATGCTGACATGATAAACAATTCGTTCTCAACTAGGGAGCATTCTATTCTTAGGGGTCACTTGCTAATGTCTGTAGGTGCTTTGGGGGTATCACAGCCTCATGCCTGAAGGGAACTTGAGGTACAGAAATACTGCCGGCATCCCTCATTCCATCGGGAAGCATTTTCTGACCCCAAGCATTAACACTGCAGGGTAGAGAAATCTTTGTGCAAAAAATGATGCAATTTCCAATCATAATCCAAAACGAACACAAGAGTTAGAGCTTGGGGAATGAGGCTGAACTTGCTCTGGCTATCCTAATTTCCAAAGACCTTAAGCTTTAAAAAGTGGTAAACTGTGTGCTTACAACAACCCCAAGAACCGGGCAACACCTAAGTAAACGCTGGATAAGGGCTCAGCCCACCCTTTCACGCATCCACTGTCTGCCTCCCCGCCACACACTCCACTCTACTTTGATATTTGTTTACGTGCCTTTCTACCCACGCTGGATCTGAGCATTAGTAACCACAGTCATCAATCCACTTAATAAACGCCTCTAGACTGGTTTCTGATGCGTGCCCCACGCGACTGTGGCATCACCACTTCAGCGGGCTCCTTTTCATGGTGCCCGCATTCCTGTCCACAGAAACTGAGGCAAACCAGGCACAGGACAGGAGGTAGCAAAGGCTATGACGCAAAGGGATGTAGCAGGTGGCACTCTACTTTATGACAGAGGCCCCTGTGAGCAGAGAAGTAAGCCCCTCTTTTTCACGGTTTCACAGTTGCTGCTTTCGTTGGGGCTGCTCGGAAGCCCTTACTGAACTGTGTTATAAACTCCTAAACGAAAGCACCCACTTCTCAGCCGGTTTGTGCTCCAACGGCAGCATGAAATGTGTTGTCCCATTAGTAGAAATGAAGTCAGAAATGAGAAAAACACACAGAGCACACAAACCTAACCTCAGAGAACCTTCTGCCCAAAGACCCTATATCCAAGGTCTCAGGAATTACAGTTCAGTTGTGTTGGCAAGTGTGTGTATGTGTTGTGTGTGTTGGCACGTGTGTGGTGTATGTAGTGTGCGTGTGTGTGTGGTGTGTATTGGAGTGTGTGATGTGTGTGTGTTGACATGTGTGTGTGGTGTGTGTATTGGCATGTGTGTGTGTTGGCATATGTGTGTTGGTGTGTGTGTTTGTGCGCATGTGGTATGTGTGTATTGGCGTATATGTGTGTTGGCATGTGTGTGCATGGTGTGTGTGTTGGCATGTCTGTGTGTGTTGTGTGTTGGCATGTATGTGTGTTGTGTGTTGGCATGTATGTGTGGTGTGTGTGTGTGGTGTGTAGTGTGTGTGTTGGCATGTATGTTGGTATGTGTGTATCTGTGTGTGTGGTGTGTGCGCGTCTGCACACAAGAGACAAAGCCCAGAACAGAATTAACTACTTAGAGCATCCCCTTCTGCACCCTTTGCAGCGAAGACTAAACACTAACCCTTCTACCGCCCAGTTGTTGCTGTAACATCTTTCTTTCTCCCAAGGACTCGTCCATTTGTTCAGTTGACTATAAGGTTAGAACAAGCATCTTCCACCTTTCTTTAGGAACTTGCTTTAAATTTTCTTGACAAAGTCTTTCTCAATACAAAATAGAAAATAAAAAAATAAAACCCTGGAACACCCATAGCTCTTCTCATGTCTCTGACACCGGAGCCTTGAAGGTCACATGAGCCTTGAAGTTAATCAGTGTTTAGAAAAGAGGTGTCCTGGCTCTCCCGGAGGACTCCAGACCCTCACCCATCACTGGTCCCTTTGTGTTTAATATTACTGAATTGAATTGGAAGAACAAGCTATTGGTTTAGATTTATAAAGGGCTCTTTACTGTTTCTTTTTTTTTCTTATGCCACCAGCTAAAACAAACTCAAGCCAATTCCACTTTGTTTATGCACATATTTGCAGAGTCATCGCTGGGTAAGCATCCAGGACACAGGAATTAGCTTCTCTGGGAAGTTATCTGGGGCTGCTGTTTCCCAGAGAGCCAACAACCCAACCTAACACCCTCCAGAGGACATAGGGCATAGATTTCTTCACGGCTTATAGGTAAGTCAATTAAACAAAATTAGCACTTCAAACTAGACTCTGGAAATTCTTTGTTCTTGTTAATAAGGCACAGAATATGTTTAGAGTCATGGCTTCTAAGCAGTAAGAACAATTGTTTAAAGTTTCTAATAATCATCTATTGAACACATCCAGCCCTCTTTGGGGGTATTTGGGGGGGCTTATAAAGGAATCCAGAGCAGAAATTCTGGAATTCTCTCAAAGCCACCTAGGAAGCCAATGGAAGAATTGTGAAGCCATGGCTAATTTCACTGAGAGGTGGTTTTTAACCCAATTTGTACTACCCACATATTAAGTAGCCACAGATAACAGCTTTGAAGATTAGAATTTTTGTCATTTAGATATTTGATCTTGGATTAGGTATACTTGAGCTAATCTTACAATATTACTGTTACCCTGATAGGCCAACATTTGTTAGTATATCATTCTATTCTATTTCCATGATGCTGCATGCTGGAACCAGACTTTAACAAGAGAAGGAAAGTTAAGTTTCTTTTCTTCTTCTTTAAAAATTTATTTATTTTTATTTCATATGCATTGGTGTTTTGCCTGCACGTCTGTCTGGGAAGGTTCCCGATCCCATGAAATTGGAGCTACAGGCAGCTGTGAGCCACCATGTAGGTGCTAGGAATTGAACCCGGGTCCTCTGGAAATGCAGTCAGTGTTCTTAACCACTGAGTCATCTCCCCAGACCCCAGAAAAGGTTTATTAGACGTGGGAAAAGAAAGAAGACTCAGGAGATAATCTTTCCAGTTGGGGAGGGGGTAATAGAATTTGCCAACCCCAGTAATTATGCATGTTTTCCTGTCCTTGTCAACCTTATTTTGGACAGTTTCACTCTGTAAATTAGCAGCGTTTCCCCATTAAGAAACATTTGCTAATAATCAGGGGAACGGTCTTTGAAGATAAAATCTGCTGAAACATGTGTCGAAGAACAATTTCGCTTAATACAACTGTCTCCAAAGAAAGTAAACAAAGCTTGCAGCAATCATGCGCGAAGAGTCATTGCACAGTCTCACTTACCCAAGAGGAGAGAGCGTGGCCAAGGTAGAGAAGGAACTTTGCCGAGTTCAGGTAGTTTGCTAAGGATCCTACAAAGGCCCAGAGAGAGTAAATGAAAACCATGTTTCACCATGCCCCTGCGCTCAGGTTAGAATTTGCTTTGGGTCCTAAGTATGTGTCGTGTTGAAGGAGGTCACCTACAGATTGATGCATTCAGTTCACTTCGTGCCATCCCCTGAGGTCCAGCGTGGCCTCTTGGCCAATAACCGCCCGACTTCATGCATCGTGAAGAAACTCCAGTTTCAACATTCTTCAACTTTGGTGAGGTTTGTTTATCAGGGCAAGGAATTCCACACTGCCCAGCTTACTCTCTCTCCTTGCCGATATGCAAGCTCTTTTAATCAAACTTTGAATTTACATTCTTCGGAGCCTCCATCCAAACAGAAGTCAACCCTCACGGAACTGCGTGCCCTCCCCACTCCCCACCTGCAATCCCACCTCTTGATGCATTAGGGATTATAGAACTCACCACAGCATCCTTCCTGGCCGCTTTGATCTCTTGCCTTGGTCATGGCACCAGGCGCTCTCCCCTTGCTTGTTCTGGTGTCGGTTGCTGTAGCTGCTCTCGCCCGGGGGCTTGTTCACAGGAGTGCGAGGAACGGGAGATAGCACCGCTAAAAACACGACCGCCTTGTGCCGCGAGACCCCAAAGGACAACTAGGGCAAAGATCAACAGCAAAGCTGCCACCGGGGTTCTCTCTCTGTCTTCTTTCCAAACTTAGCCAACACTGTAGCTGAAGTTGGAAAGCCAAAGCCTTATGGAAGCGGGTTGGAGGATCCACCGGCCGCCGGAGACCCTGAGCCTGCTCCAGCCGCCGCCGCCGCCACCGCCGCCGCCGCCGCCGCTGCGCCGTG